CCCTGCGCCCCGAGGGGGGCGTCCCTCCTCGGCGCTCCTCGCCGGCGTCCCCTCCCCCTCGCCTCCTCCCGAGGCGCCCGAGGCTCCGGGCGCTGCTGCGCCGCCCGCCCGCCCGGGAAGCCGCCTCCTGCTCGGGCGGCCCAATGAGCATTAAATCAGCGCAGCTGATTCGAGGCCATTGCCCCCGCAGACAGCGGAGACCTCGCCGGCGGCCGGCGCGGAGGTGTCTGCCCCCGCCGGGCTTGAAGGCACTTGTTGGTGAAAGACACAGACGTGTCCGTGTTTGCCTCTCCTGGGGAAGGGCGAAATGCTCTGAAGTTCCCTGGCGCTCATTTTGGGGGGATGGTTCTGCCTTCTCTGGGGTGCCCTCGGGGTTCCACCGCGGGGAGGAAGAGGGCTGCGCCACTCTTGGTACCAGACCCTTTACTTCTGGAGGAAGTGGCCCAGGATGTGAGAAAAGGGGTGCACCAGGGGACCTTAACTCAACAAGCAAACGCATCCCCTTTCCTTCATGAGTTAAGGTTCTACCTTTATTTACCATGTTACCAGGACAAGTGTCTTTGCTCTCTGAGCCTCAGTTGCTTCCGTTGTAAAAATGGGATTACATCTTCACCCCTCTTAGGAGATGCTAAAGAAAAAGCAAAATCAACTGTTCTGGAAAACGGAGTAAGAACTTAGCCCTCGTGAGCGGAGACACGCTCAGAGAGCCAGCTTCCTGGGCCTGGTGACAGCCATGTCCTTCACCCCCAGGAGCTGACATAGATCGCTCACAGCTGTTGAAGCAGGACTCAGCTTTTCAACTGGCCCAGGGCAGGGCGGGCCCAGAACCTGAGGTGAATCAGGCCTTTTCACTAGTCCCTTTTCAGTTTACTACAAGGACCTGGGAGAAGGGGCTCTTCTTCCCCCTAGTTTACCCCAGGTACCTTGCTGTTGGTAGAGATTCTTGGACAGCAAAGGAAGCCCTCCTTTTGGCAATCTGAGAGGAACGATGAAGTGAGTTTCAATCAGTCAGCCAGCCAGGGTACTACAAAGAAAGGGCTGGAGCTTCGTGGAGGCCAGAGGGTGCAATGGTTTCTATGTAGACTGGGGACACATCCAGCTTCATGGCCAAGTTTATCTGTCCTGAGTCTGCAGGTGTGATGGTCTACCTTGTAGGCCTGAGGCTGTCAGGCCCTTGCTCTGCTTTACAGGTGTGAGAAAGACTCATTCCGGTCCCTGAGTGGCACAAACAGGTTTCTCACACTTACTAACCTAAAGAAGTTGACCCTGTGGTACCATGGAAGAAAGTCCTGGAAATCTACAGTTAAACATCTCCCCCCCACCCCCACTCAAACCCTATGGAGTAGTCTACCCTGTGATCTATGGGGTAGGTCCCAAGAGTCTGAATGAATCAGATGACAGGGGGTTACAGATTCTTTTTGTCATGAAACTGTGAATTCTGAACACAAATACAGCACCATATAGTAGCCATTCAGGTAACACTAGGCCACACATTAAGTCTGCGTTCCCACAAATTTCAGAAATCCTGATTAGGTAATAAAACAGTGCACGCCACAGCTTTCTACATACCATGCATGGACCTTATGTCTCTTGTATACAAAGTGGTTGTGTTGCCTGGTATAAAATGGTATAATACATATATATAACCTGTAACATATATGTCTTGATAGACATCATAAACTACTTATTTATACTGCTCTGTACTTTCTAGCTAAAAACTTTACTATATAACAGTGTATGCTTCATCTCAAAGGCGGCAGCAGCCAATCTGGTATATGGCGCCTTTCCAGTGCTGCAGTGAGCTTTCTTTCAAAAATATTACTCTTGAGTGTATCATGACCCCCGAACACAGCAAAACCTGTGCTAGACAGGAGGCAACAAGAGGGTATTCATTTGTGAAAGAAAAAGTTCTTGACATCTCACTTAACAATCATGATGATCCTCAAAAACAAAGGAAAAATTCTCCATGTTATTAAAGGATCTGGCCACTGGAAGCTACAAGGCTAATGAAATGCTATAGGGACCTAGGTCAGATATAGGGAAACTGCTGATTGTGTAGATTGAGGACAATACACAAAAGCAAACCCCCTTTAGCATGTTGATGAAGCTTGTTTCTATGAAGCTTGTTTGAGATGCTTAAAGAAAAACTAGGACCCGATTACAACATGGTAGTTGCACAACATCCAAATCACATAACTTCCTACATGACTGTATCTTACCTTCCATTCTTCTGATACACACCCTTCCCCACTTCACACACACACACACACACACACACACACACACACACACACACACACACACACACACACACACACGGCAGGGGGAGGTTAGGCCTTTCTTGTTCCTGCTTCTGTTTACTCTGCCTGCTTAATGCGTCCTCCATTGACTGCCTTAAATGCCACCTCCACTTAGAAGCCTGCCGTTACCCACTGACCCTCTACACTAGGTACTTTTGTCTTCTTCTGAGTCCCAAGCATGTTTGTGCCTTTCTTACACTGCTTATGCATTCTTTAACCTGGTCCTTGTCTTCACTTCTTTGGTCATTAAGTTAGTGGCTTCCATGCTGTGAGTTGTAGCAGACAGAGCTTAAGGTTTTTGGAGCTACAATGACCCAGGCTTAGCCACTTCCCAGTGATTATAAACTGACTGAGAGAATCTGCTCTCTTGGTTCCAGTTTCCTCATCTAGAAAAGTACGAAACCCTGTCTTTGGTGAGACTGGTAGGCCTAAAGGTAGTCTTTGTTCCTTAAATGCCATTCTCCTCCCTTTCTGATACACATAAAGTGGGTTGTTGGATCAAATTTGTTACCAGCAGAGTCCTTGGTTGCTATTACTGAATGGCCACAGAAACTTATTTTATATACACTCCAACTTTTCCAAGTTCCAGGCAATGCCCACTTAAATGCTTTTAATCTAGCCAACTGAAGATTTTGGTCGGTCTCTTTGTGTTTGCTGCAGTTGAATTGTATTTATGTTAGTATTTCCACTAGCAACAAATAACTAGGATCAACCTGTTTAAACTCTATGCCTAATTGTGAGCATTGGGAAAATGTAAGAAACAGTTTGAAAACTAGGCTGCCTGATAGGCACTCTGAGGGGAATTCTGCACATTTCTTCACATAGAATGATTTTTATTCACATTTAGAGAATTAGTATGCCTAAATAAAGAGAGGGTGGCAGAGTTTTGTAGCGAACCAAAGGGTCACACATCTCCTGCAGTTTGGATCCACTCACAGCTCTGAGGGAGAAGGAAGGGTGGTCTCCTCTCATTAGGATTTACAACCTCAGAAGCTCCATGGAGGGTTGTGATAAGCCAGAATGGATTCAGCAGCTGTAACTTTAGTTTTGAGATTAAGACTGTTAATTGATCTTTAGGTTCACCTAAAGGACTCTAGATTTCATTGTCCAGCTCTCAAATTAAGTGAGACAATGAATAAGGATGATAGAAGAAGAATCGAAGCCTTTGAGCTTTGGTGTTACAGAGGAGCTCTGAACAGCCCATGGACGGCCAAAAGAACAAACAGATATGTCTTGGAGAAGAGGCAGCTAGAATGCTC